TGTTAGTTACCATTGACGATAAATTAGTTTTGTTGTTGGTCAGATGAGGCGATCTATGTCGAGGTTAGATTTCCAATGCCAGCCAGCAGTGTAAGAATGTCTCTGGTATTTTCTATTGAATTTGAAGGTTGTGTGCTTTAATGCATACTCTGTACATACTTCATTGTTGATTTGTTGGTCAAATCTATTCCATACACCACGCTCAGGGTTGACCCCATATCTTATGTGCGTGGTCCCAGTGGGTATTTCCATATTTTAATAACCAAGATTAATTATTTTTTCACTGACGTTTTATTAATAGACAGATGCTTACTGATGTTGAGTATTAATATCCTATGTTTTGCTTATAGTTTTTCTTTCTTCTAGAGAATACAATTATGATGGTTATTTTATGTTAATATTGGCGCATAGAGAAAACGGGTAATCACAAGTTTCACAAGCTCCATGTTTTAATATGGTCGTCTAGTATCACAATGTGTCCCACACTCGACAAAACTAGGCATATTGATGGCAAAATTCGTTGTCATTAACCGTTCAGTAATATTTATGCATTTTAATTATAATCAATATTTTTATCTTGTACCAGGCTCTATACAATTTGCATATAGGTTTATTAGCTAAGGTCAACATGCATTTCTGTCAAATATGGTTTCAATTGGATGATTGCCTAACTGTTGTAAACATGAGATCACATGATCGTCCCAAACATGATATTAGGCTTTAGTTGTGTCCAGAAATATATTCTGCATGTGAGCTCAGAGAACTGAATTACGCTTATCTATCCCGTCACTACAGGTATGCATTCACTATATGCTATTTTAAGGCAATGTATTATGTTGTAAATGAAGCGGGTCATCTGACAGTGGCAAAGCGCATTCCTTAGGGAAAAAAAATATTTTCTAGAAAGCAGTTGAGTCCTTTAGAAGGATTCTTGTTAAAATAGTAGCCAATAGAAGCGGAATCACGCTTTTTTGTAATAATTTGTGAAATGCCTAGTCGTTTCAGGGTCGTTTCCGTTGTGATGACAAAGCTATTTGCATCACCATAATTGATTGAATAGTACAGTTAAAGTAATATTTGTTTCACAAGGATGACATCCTAGTAATGACACAGCTCATTAAATAAATTGAAACTGTTTGACTTATCTATTGAAGTAAGACAGCAGCAATTCTGAACTGTTCTTTTAGCACACGTTTGGGCGTTCGTTCTATGAACCAATGTTTTTTTCTTAATACGCATGTGCATTGTTTTGGCACGTGCAGTAACATTTATTGCACATGCGTATTAGTGATTTTGATTTTTCATCTAACGAATACTGTCGTGCGCTTTGCCAATGCAACTGTTTTTATATTTGTTAAATCAGAATCCGATTAGCTCCACAGTGTTGAATCGAATAACAGTTTTAAAAATTGCATATTTTCGTCAATATTGCATCTTTAACATAGCACTTTGTATAATTTATGGTAAATATATGTAAATTAATATCTGTGTAACATATCCAGAACCAAAGCAATAAAAATAACATAATCCACATAGAAAAGGGTAAGCAAATAACACCGAATAAACGGCAAGGTAAATACTAGAACAGATAAACAAGTACCTCATTAGCATAAATTCGAACTACCCACACTATAATCCAGTATTATAGAGAAGGCAATGTACGTACAACGTGGCGTATATCTGCGTTTTGGACATTGGGATTGGTTTTCTGATGTCTGGTGGTAATTAAGGTAGAATTGAATTTATTTTTATAAATATTGAATATAGCGCTCGTTGATGTCAAATTTGTCGTTGTGACTGTAGCTGAATTCCAACTGATATGCTAGTATTCATTTGTAAAAGCGATACTGTACCATATATGCATAATTACACTACAGTAAACGTATTGACCTCGTACTGTGTGAGTGAATAAATTATCGTAATCCTGCAATAACCTTAATATGGTAAAACATTCATTACCATACATTGTTTTACTCATTTGACACATACCCCCATATATTCGGACAACCAACAAATCGTAGGTTCAGTATTTTATTCACAGCATGCACAATGTATCTGTGTTGAAAATACAGAATATGGTAAAATGTTTTACTAATTCAACTTACTGTAAAATGACTAATTTTCACTGGGTTTAAATTTCGCTGATTTTCCATTTCAGGCATATTCAGTGGGTTTTAAATTCACGGTTTTATCATTTAGTTAATGTGTTCTATGCAAAATTTTACATATTCACTGGGTTTTAATTTAGCGCATTTTCCAGTCAGCGAAATAAGCAAAATTAAAACCCAGTGAATAATAATTAACTCCATTACAGTATTATTCAAGTTGTTCAAAATATGTAAAATATTAGTGCTTATTGATTTTTAATTCGTCAATATAGATGTGCACTCTGATTAGTAGTTTTTAAACATTAGGATATGATTAACTACTACTAGCTATGATGTGGGAAATATTGCAAATTAACTAAATCACCTGCTTCCACCGACAATAAGCGCAAATGTCAAAACATAGTTTTGAATTTACCGAAAAGAACTATAGCTACTCCAAGCTAAGCGCAAAAGGGAAAACAATTTACCATATCCTATCATATTTTTGTCGAGGAAAATACAGTATTTGTATCAAGTAAAATCCTATTTGTTACAAAAAATATTGTTATACATTAGTTGTGAACTACATATTTTGTAATTTCATGCAGCTTCTTTCAGGCAGAATTCAAAACATAATAAATGCGAAACAGAGATAAGAAGCAAATTATTATTTGTCTTAAATATTCAGGTGTAATCGGAAATAATGATAATTATTTTTATTATTGGTGTACATATGGTTTGCATTATGTTAAGAATTATTCATAATATATTTCTGTATTTTTGTTCCTTGTCAAAATCTGTTGTTTTCGCGTTTTTGAACAAAACTTGCAATCGGCACTTACAAAAAAAATCAGGAGAGACAACAGTGACACTCAATGTCCAGAACTGTCGCCTGGTACAAAAACATTATTAAAAAAAAAACAAGAAAAAAAGGTATATGGTATATATCACCGTGTTAATATGTAGTTACATAAGTTTAATTAAAATAAAAATGACTGCATGTCTACGTCTTCCCAGGAGTTGATCAAACACTTAGTAATGTCGTATACATGGTTATATCATTTCTTACTAAAACTTGTGTAATAGATAACCTCAAACTCCAATGTTTTTATTCCTTAAAATTGTCGAGAGTGAAACTCAATACCGGCAATTCTGACGCTCCACGCTTACTAACCAAAGGTATAGCGTATTACCGGAACATCTCAACCAGACAATTTTTGTATTAGCAAAGTTCGATGAGAACCTCTGCTCTTTGTTGCTTTTTTTAAATAATCGATATCTTTTTACATATAATCTGGTGTGTACATTTGTATGTACATTAGTAGTAATGTAGTAGTTGTGATGTAGTAATGTTTTTTTGTTCATTTCTGACTACAATATTACTAACTTATTTTAGTCAAGATAGTCATGTATTATTTCTAATATCGCACTAACTCAATAATTTTTGCCTACTGCCCTTGGTTAGAGACAAATGATTGGAATCTTGTAACCATGCTTCCAATATATTGGGTAACAAGTGTCGGATCCGGAGAAAATAGGATTCTCGGGATTGGGAATTGCATTTCATCTTGAATTTGTTGATGTTCACTGCAACTGTAGCTGCTGCTAGTTCATGCATCAACACTGCCGTCACATTGAGAGGAGTAACTTTGAATGTGTCCATCTGCAAACTACATTGAACAAGATTAAAGAAAGAACAAAGAACAACATCTCTCCTTGTATATCTCTTCTCTCAGTCTGTCACCCATTGTGAAGTTAAATGTGTCATTTTCCTCATCCTATTTAATGCCAAACGTTCTTTCAATTGAACTTCCAGCAACGTAGCATCTGAATACCTTATGATTGCGTCCTACGGCACTCATCTGGGACATCATTCACAATAAGGAGAGTGACCTGTTTAATTTGTAATTCTGGCAATTCTATATTACTTAGATTAGGCCACCACTACCACTAGAATACTGTCTATTGTTCAATCGTTGTCTAGTCCCACACCATAGACTAAGTTTAAACATCTTACATCCATTTTTACTTCATGACCGTTCTGCTTCTCTTCACTCAGTGTGGACAAAATATAACTGATAAATTAACCAGTAATGCTCATCTTATCAACAAGGCTGCTGAGGCAGTCAGGGGAATCAGAACCACTATCACGAACTGTTTTAATACCTGGACCCAAATCAACACCACTTACATGAACAAGAATCAAATGCAAACTTAAGCGTCGTTGATGAAACTGAAATGTGTTGAGTGTAAATTATTATTGATCATTAACTGAATTAAATAAATGTATCACGTTTAGCTGGAGTTTTTATTTGGTGGTTCATTATCATAAGAGTTCGTTATGCATGTGGAAGCTTGCGATACCTACAGTATGCTAAATAGGGTAAAATACCTTCCTGCATCTACTTAGAATACAAGAAAGACCAGTTATGCTAATGTTCATAAAGTGTAGAAACAGTAGGCGGCCATATATTGCTTGTGGATGTAACTGCATTTCAACTGATGTTGACACACATAATATGTGTACCACTAGCAGTAGCAGTGCGAAGCTGTAGATAAAGGCAATATGTCAAAACGTCAGCATAGTCGGTGATTCTATCAATTGTATCACAGTGATTTCAGTCACTTTGCCAGCAGATGAATAAATATACATAGCACTTTCTGTACATGTAGTAACCTCACTCACTTGAGAATACTGGACAAAATAAAATATAGAGATGTAATAAACGAATACTTTATCATACAATCGATTACGACAGAGTGTTTAGTAACATTTGCGATTAACAGACTATTTATGTGTTGTAATGATCTTGTGACTTTTGAAAGTGTTATGTTTATATATAACTTGTTATGTGATTGTAAAAAAAGTATTAAAAGTTTATACATAAAGCAATGTTTGTAATTGTTTTACAGATGTTGCACTATGACGATATATTGGTAAATATAGTGGGAGAGTTTGGTACCTATCAAAAGATAGCTTTGTTTCTGCTGGGAATAGGGGGTACCGTGCCATCTGCTCTTTTAGTTATATCACCAGTCTTTCTTCTTGCGACAACTGATTCCTGGTGTATAGTTCCTGATCGATATAAAATCAGCAAACGAGTTTGTTTTAATAACATCACTGAGAGCTGTGAGGATTTGGTTAAACATCTCATTATACCAAAAGAAACGAGAAACTTTGGATGCAAGTCTGTCTTAGTATTTGACCAATGTCGTCGTTATAACATATCCTATGATTCCGTTACTGATTATTCAGAGGCATACATCGACCAATATCTTAACAACACTGAAACTATGAAATGTGATCTTGGATGGGAATACGATACATCGCAGTATAAATCAACAGTGTCACAAGAGGTTAGTAAATTTCACATCCTAGAAATTATCTAAACTTTTCATAGCATAAAGCTTGACAACTTTTTTCTCAGCAAAAATGTATTAACGAACATTTCCATTTATAATTTGCATGAGCAAGAACATAGGTCTATGTAGGATATGTGGGGTTTCTGTCCAAACTAACATATAACGTTATTCATATTTTGGGGAAATAGCATACACACGCAAGTAATTAACACGCTAGCTAAATGATAAATAATACTCTGAACTTCACATGTCTAGATTACATGACAATCACATTTGATATGTTTTTTTTCCCTTCCAGTTTGACTTGGTTTGTGATAGATTCTATCTGAATGCATTAGCCTCGTCTGTTTACATGCTAGGGATGCTGGGTGGATCTGTAATTTTGGTCATCTTCTTTGGCCAGTAAGTGATATTGTTGTCTTCTTTAGAATTAGAATTAGAATACTCGCAAACATACGGATATATAGCAAACAAAAACACTAGACATACTTACGTATTATAATGCATAGTCAATCAGTGACATATGACGTATGACATATGGTATTTACTGTAAACGCATTAATTATTCGCTCTGTTTTAATTTCGTTAGTTTTGTTGAGAAGTAAAATTGAGAAGTAAAAACTCATTGTTTTCCTGCCAAGTTCATGAAATTAAAACCCAGTGAAATTGCTCAAGACACTAAATAGTGAAATTTAATGGTTTTACGGTAAATGTATGATGTACATGATGTACGGTATATACCTAAATATAAACGGTACATACCTAAATATGTATGGTATATATCTAAAGATGTATGATGTATACCTAAACATAAATGGTATAGATATTTGCACACAGTCGAGAGGTGATATGAAGTGTTTCAAAAACACTAAATGTACTTTATTCTGAATGACCTTTACTCTATACGAATAAATGAAAATATAACATAATAAACAAGGTCAAAAAATATGATGCAATTAAATTTACTTGTAGGCAAAGTAGGCAATGTTTAGTTGTGTGTTAACACAACGTATATCGTAGCTTACATATTTACATGAATACGTTGTATTAAAGGTTAGCTCCCAATTGTAATATAGTCACCTTGTTTGATTTTTTTAATATAGATTTGGTCGAATGGATCAATTTATGATGTCATATATATTACTCATAGTTACTGGAATTCTAGAAGCATTTTCTCCCAACTACGTTGTGTTTGCTGTGCTGAGATTTTTCATGGCAGCAGGGCAATACGGAATTTTTATCTCTGCATTCACTTTAGGTGAGTTTGTTTCTAAACTAAAGTGTCAATAACAAATAATGACTGTTTTAATATAAATGCTCTTTCTTTATTTTGCGTTGTTTGATACTTTTCAGTAAGTGAGTATGTTGGACCGACAAAACGCGCCATTACGGGGATGATATATATGGCACATCTTAGTGTTGGATATATGATATTAGCTGGGTATGCCTACTTCATACGTGATTGGTGGATTTTGCAGTTGGTCATTGTTGTACCTTGTATCATGTTTTTAAGTTACTATTGGTATGTATTGCTTAATCTATTGTATTCAATACTTCGCATGCCTTATGAATAAGATATACGTCATAGTCAGTTTGTATAAAATACTGACTATGTCTATATTGTCACAGCGAATTGTCATACAACCAACCATTACACAACACTTGAATAAATGTGTTCCTGTATAAACGTAAATGAAGGTGTGTTATTTATAGGACTCATAGACACATGTGTAATTTTCGGGAAACACTTGCGATGTTATAATAAGCTTTGACTGACTAATATTGAACTGTAACTGTATAAATAGGATCATTCCAGAATCACCAAGATGGCTTATTTCTGTTGGAAGGACAGAGAAAGCTGTGGAAACCATCAAGCTATTTGCCAGAGTAAATAAAGTGACAATTCCTGAAGATCTGTTTAATCAAGACTTGGATAGTGATGACGACATAATACACTTCCATGTAAGTAGGTGTAGTGTATATGGAACAGTCTAGGGTTTTCTGTCACGATGAAAGATGTCCATTCAGGATTGGTAATATGTTCGTGTATTAAACTGAATCGAAATGTCACAAAGGGAAATACTTGCAACTTCATCATTATGCTCTTCTGTGAGCATCTATATATTGAATTCTACCTCATGTTGATATATATGTATTAGAGTACTCATAAAATTAACTCATGTACATGTTATTCATTTACTAAACCATCGCACAAGCACAATGGATTTTACCCATGTGACATAAGTGATTAACTTACTATTCAAAATTCAATGTTTAACGAAATCTGTGTTCTGTGATGTACTCATCGTCATCGTATTGAGCAACGTGAGGCTCAAATGCAATTTTCTGTTGGAGTTTAGGAAAAAACATATTCCGGGAACCAGAACAATTATTGTTGTGCTGATCTACTACGATATCCAAATCTGCGATTGAAGTTTCTAATTCTTTGTTACAACTGGTGAGATATTCTATTTGTTTTTGACATATTTTAACAAGGTGTAGTAATACATTTATGAGTCAGAAGTGGTTCAATGATATCTTCAGGATATTTGTTGGCTCTCCTTGTATTGTGGATTTTTTTTAATTATAGCATATATTGATTTGTCATATATTGAAACAAGTAGTCGGTAATTGATATTACTGATGAAGATATGATAATTTTGCATTACTACGAACTATATACCTCTCTCTGTACAGTTATGTTTCAGTCCTAACAACTTTTCTGTTTTCAAGTATTCTCGGTTGTATTCTGTCATTTTTGTGAAATCATAGTACATTAATATAAATGTCTCAACAGGGCCATTACATCCCTTGTGTACTATGGGATATCATTTGACACATCCAGTTTGGGTGGAAATGCATACCTCAATGTATTATTTGCTGGTGCTGTAGAAATCCCTGCATACATTTCCGGGATGATCTTGATGGATGTTCCCAGGATAGGACGTCGAAGATCACTTCTTATAGCATGGGGTCTTGTCGGCGTAGCATGTTCTGTGTTAGCATTTATACCTACATGTAAGTACACCTCCTTTAGTTGTGTGAACGTGCGCGTGTTCGGATTACATGTATGCGTAAAGATTAACAGTATGCAACAAACCGAATTACGTGTAAATACCTTAATCATTATCTAGCATGCGTACAGTGTCAATGTAAAAATGAAATTAACATGTAAAGTGGAATGTATCAAACCGCAATCATTATTCAAAAGTTGCCTATAAAATGCAAATTAAACTAAAACCGTTGTGCATGAACAATACAAATTGAATACAAAACATATTCAAATTGAAGGAAGAATTATACATTGACATAAATGTAGTAAACAACCAGATGTTTTCGCCCGATGGTGATACAAAAAAGCATGAAGACGTGATTAGCAATTATCATCAATTATAATTGGAATAATAACTTGCGGGTGACACTGGGGATAACGCGTGGTATTGCTCCAAGCATTTTTGATATTTGTTTAAGTGTGTAGGACGGCAAAATGTTTCTGGCATTCACCTATGCATTTTATTTCATGCAAAGTACATTTAATGTTACAGGTGGCGGTAATTATCGGGTGAGATTAGCGTTGGTGCTACTTGGGAAGTTCGGTATCACGTGCGCATTTGGTATGGTACGTGTCTATGCAGCAGAAATATTTCCTACACCTTTGAGGTAAGGATCTGCTTATCAAATATACATGTTCAATAGACGGTAACAGACAATTTACTAACAGTATTTGGCTGGGTCCTAAAAGATAAAGGTAATACGGTAACACAGATTTATGCTACTCCTCGCTAATTACAAAATAATTGTGATTAAAGTAGAGTATTACTTTCATTTCATCTTCTCCGCAAAATGTGTTTTATATGGAAAAGAATGTTGTAAATGGACAGTTGTCTTTAGTTTAATTATTAACAAATATTTCCAGGTCGGAGGGTCTCGCGATGTGTTCTGTGTGTGCATATACTGGCGGTATTCTGGCGCCTCAGTTGATTTTAATGGGTGAACTGTGGAAACCACTTCCTAAACTAATTTACGGGATTACCTCAATCATAGCAGGTATATTAGTAATATATTTACCGGAAACACGTGGAAAGCAATTATCGGAAACAATAGAGAAAGCTGAGCAGTTTGGAAAGTAAGTGCACATCGTTTGTGTTGTAATCAGTTTGATATACGATTATGTAAATAGGGAGAAATCGTCACGGTCATCATGACCCAATGGATCATTTATGGGATGTAATGCCCCGTGATATTAATGTCACAATACACCATCAAATGTAATGTTATTTATCCTCGTTCCTATCTAACCTTGTGAGTCACAAATATACGTATAACACGATGACTTGACGTGAATAATATCTATTTGTGAACTTAAAACAACGAGTTAGTTACGATAATATGAGGTTATTACGAGGACACCTCTAAGTATGCATGAAGACAGTACAGCGGGAGTATCGACCAACGCGCAGCAGAGGTCGATGCGACGGCGTACTGTCTGAGGTGTCCTCGTAATAACCTTAGTATTATACATCTTTTCCTTCAAAAGTTACATCATGGGAATGCCGAAATCCAAAAAGTTTAGAAAAGAATGTGGAGTAAAATCGTGGTGGCAGCCATGTTTGTTTTTAATATTAGAGGACGTTTACGCGCGTAATCATTCCATATTTGGAATTCGCATTTCAAAATATGGTAGGATGAAAATATCCCGTAAAATACCGCAAAATTACGGCAAGCTGTAACTTATGGCGTTACGGTTACAGATGTATAATAATGTGCTTTATTTCAGAAAAGTGAAGAAACATCGTGTAAGCAGTAAAACAAATGACATAGAGGAATCAAGACTATTGAAGTAAAAACAAGGCACGGAGAGGAAGTTTCGTTGTGTCATATTAATTTATATTATTAAATATATACTATGTTATGATATATACCAAATCAAATCATATTGGCTTTTCTTCTTTTCATTTTTATTCATTTAATTGTTCAATTTTGTCTTCTATTTTTAATCTTCTGACTGAAGATGTGAACGACCTTGATAGAAGATCTTGTTTGTGAGGTGTCATGGATTTGTTTCAATGTGTCTGGATACCGACTTGATAGCTGGTTTCTAGTGGAGTGGCTGGACGCAATGATCCAGGGACCCGCCGTAGGCGGCAGTTTTTTCATGCGAGGTCAATTTTGGACCACCAGGTCATTCCTAAACGCGTAATTAGGACTGAGACGAGAATCAATTTTGGGTGCCAGAAATTAACCAAAGACGCTTATTTGGGTATAATTTGCGCTGTCAAGACAACGTTCAGGTTAATAAAATAAGATTGACGACGTTTTCCCATGAGAAAAAAGTGAATTATTTGTTGAAAAAAGCGGAGAAAAATTGATATGCAAAAGTCGTGACGTCGTCATGGAAATTGTCTACAGTACACGTACACGCATCTTTCGATGAGGTAGATTATTTTGCTAGTCAGCCAAGGACGCCGTACAGACATTGTACTAATAGAAGGTAAGAGCTCATGTTTTTCCACAAATTTTAAAATATTCTTAACAATTGCTTTACCTATAAAACTTTGCAGACCATGCTATGATCATTCAGTGTTTTGAACTAAACGACTCATCGCTTAGCAAAGCCGATTTTCAGGATTTATTGGCACATGATGTCATGAATCAGGGAATCTAATGGCCAAAAATAAATCGCCAAATATTGCATCGTACATAAATGATGACAGCGATTTACTAGGCCTATGGCCTGTGAACTCGTATGATTTGTGTGATGTGCACATGCACGGTGCGACTAGTAAAAATTACCTAACCTACCGGTCCTTCACGGCCACAGTTGTCACGATGCATCTCAATAAAATAGCATCTAAAACCAAAATGAGGCCGATATGTGTAAATACTTGTACATTAATAGTCTGGTCTATGCAGCCAGCAATAATGAAATTGCAAGAATGATGACCTCGGATGTAGCCATGTCTAGGGCATGGATATGACCACCCTATTCGTTATTCGGCATAGGCTACCACACACTGTATAATATTATGCAAAAAATTGTATTTCATTCACCACATTGGCATGGCTGGCTGTACCCATTCTTACTTTTTCATGACCATTGTTTGGCCCACTACAATTTTCTTGTGATTTAGGCGTATTTTTGTCACATGAAGAAACAGCAAGAGCTGCAATGTGTACAACAAAAATGCTCTTATCATGCTTGTGATGTTGCAATTGTAGATAAATGGCCACATCAGGAATGTACATAACTGTTATTTATTAGGCAGAAACTGATAGGGGCCTATTCCTTGTGCTGATGTCTACCTACACATGTACATCAGTGAAAGTTTTGCTGTCACCAGCTGCCATTCTTGAAATGGTGCCATCGATCAACAGTTCATGCCACTCACCTCAACCTTAAATAATGACATGTTTTGTCATTTGTTAATAAGGCCAAATTTTATTGTTATGGAAATGAGTTACCTTTTTCTAAAATGAACACAAGTTGATATTAATATCAGCGTGTAAAAAAACAATTGTTTAAAATGATTGTATTTGATATAGACTGAACATGTTGAGGAAAAAATAAATCTAAAATAATAAAATCCCTGCCTAACTACACAATATTTTTTACCCTAATACTGGAAACACCAAATTTGTTTTCATTGGCCTCATAATGGTTTGAGATCTTTTCAACATGGTCCACATAAATAATGAGGAATAAACTGGTATTCTGTACAAACAGGTCCATGCATTTACATTCTATGTTTCTGGTTTGATGTTGACTCATTTACAGCCCTGTCATTGGTGATACCAGGATTTCAACTCACTCCAGTTATATGTCAGGTGGCACATTGCCATTGCCATACGATAAATTCATTATTTTTACGAGTTCCATCAGTCTGATGGGATTGATATCATTCATATAAGGCAGTGATATTCCTATGAAGTACAATTACATTTCATATATTCTCTTTGCACCTACTTTATTTTATGTGCATAACCTGTGTATATTTTCAATGAAAGGATGCTTGAATGCACGGTAGTGCTTTCAGCATCCTCTCGCCAGTTATTTACAATGCGCCTCAGGATTATATTATGGAAAGTCCAATCATTTCCAAAGCATTATCTATTTCAACAATGTTCTTTCTATTGAACATTTCTCTTCTCAACACCTTACTCAAATTATTCATTACCTTTATATAATCTTTACCACTTACTTGTTTTTTATTTTCTTTCAGGCGAGATAATTCAACCAGCACCTGTACCTCCTACTGGATAAACTTGACAATTATTTTCACTTTATTCTTACTCGAATGTTTTTTTGTAAACTTGTTGTTTATTGTTAGTTAAAATGAAAAATAACAACTTTTTTATTTCCTTGTTCATTGCAGACGATTATTTTATTCACACTATTTTACCTGGTTGTCTTCCAACTTGTCTGCTAGTGATGTCTAATAGCAACTGGTCAAATTACAATCGAGTATTGGGTGGGTCACAGTCTTAGTACAAATAAGCCATTCACTGCCAAAGAACAATTACAATCATTCTTTCCGATCAAGTACTTTAACCTCACCTTCTTGATTCAAATGACATAACCAAAAGACTTAAAACATCACCCACTTCGTATAACACACAACACCATTTTCACATAATTGTTCATACATGTATACATTGTCACAGCAAAATCAATTCCATAAATTTACCAATGGCTCAAGCAAATCCTTTGCCTATATTAACTATAGTCTCTTCTGTAAGCCATCTAATACTTGTGACTTGTGTTTCAATTACATAACGTTAGTCCAAAAATGTCAGCTTCTGTTATTTGAACACAATCCCATTATCAAGGTCACGTTTTTATTGTGCTGGTCCCGCTAACTCTTGATGATATCATTCAACACTTTCCCATAACCTGTCATCATTTAGGCTTACACGAGGTTCCGGACGGATTTCAGTGACTGACAGTGAAGTCAGTGATTGGAACTAATTACAATATAAACGTCGCCAACCCGACTGCTGTTCCTGATAGTTTGGTATGTGTAGTCTCTTAATATAGCTGACAATTAATCAAATATATATGACGTGGTAAATACTTTATGTGATTGGCTACATGCGAGTGGAATATGTGGAAGCCACGTCTCTAGCTCTTAAACATCAATGTGATAGGTTAAAGTTTTGAAGTGAATAAAGCTAGTCTTAGTCAGTCGTGGCGAGAACTCCACGAGGCAGGGGAGTCTTGGGGTATTCTCGGCAGATGACCCAGCATTGGCGAGCTCTCCACAGGGCTACTGAGATTAGAAGTTGAAACGAATTCCATTTGTGTGTGTTTTTTGTTCGGTCGAAGGGTTGGCGAACGTAGCGATCCCGTGTACCTGAGATAACGTTTAAGAACATGATAATTAAGCCGTTATAGAGGACTCAGATAGCTAGCTTAGTTAACAAATCAATATATTATGATAGTCGTGCGAAAGTTCAAGCATGATTGTATATAAAGCCTTCACTGATTGGTTTTAGTTTGCGAGAGTTGAACGAGAGTCCTAGAGAGGTTGTTGATCAGGCAATACCAACAAATTAAATTAGGGAAATATTTAGAAAAAATAAAATCACACACCAAGAAAAATTATATAAGAAAAGGTAAAAACATGACAATTAGTTCTGATTTAAATTTAAAACGAAAGTCAAATTATTTTGAATGTTTGTGTAGCTTTTAAAAATGCATTATGACCATAGTATGACAGAATCAAATGTTCTCGTCTTCGCGTTTGTAGGTTATGTTTGTTTTCACAAGTAATTTATCCGATACCCTTGTATCGCATTCGACATCATTTATGGGACCTACTTATAATTTAGTTCAAATTGATAAATTTTATGCTCGCGTAAGGTAGCTGGATTCATGCACACACACATTGTTTTAATCGGTTTTACTTCGGTCGTTCGTAGTTATTTTTGTCCTTAATACTCAGGCCAATCTCGATTGGAATAGGATAACAAATATCAGTTGTGAGAAATATAAATACTTTTGTGGGTGAATCACTAAATATAGTACAGAAAGTGATGAGTATTTTCAAACTCAGGGATTAGTAATAGCACCACTGATGACAACAAGATTTTCAAATATTTAATTTTGACATTATTTGAATATACAGAAGATACTTGTATTAATAATTTGGATGATATTGAATGGATTTTAAATAGATTTTGTCTTAAATTAGAAGTACTGCTTTAGCGTCTATTGTTTCTTTTAGTTACTGTCAATTACTTAGACTATTCAGAAATTGTCTTGGACAAGTATGGTTATACACACAGCAATTTTAGCACACACTGAAGATTGTAATTGGTATTTGGGGGGGTTGCCTGGCAATGGCGGATATCATGTGAAATACAAATATGCAATTTTGCTCCACCTTTCATCTTAGCACTGGCTATCGCGAAATTGGGCGTGTTGTGTGGGCAATTGGTATTGACTAATAAACATTTATAGTTGTTTAAAATTATATCATCGCCAGCCAGTAACAACCACTATAACATTTTAAACTTAGTTGTCTAACAAATATGGACGAATCTGAATCAAGTACAAACTTTAACGGCACAGCAATTGATCCTCTGAAAAGGTATTGTAAGACAAGTGTATATATAAATGCAAAATATTTGACAATGTTATAGAGCAGAATCTGAGAAAAAAGGAACTTGTAAAAAAATTTACAGATGGGTTTTCTTTATGCTAGTATAGTATGTTAACATCATTCATACCAATATATTACTGGTTATATCCAACGATAAACAAATTAATTTATGAACAAGATTTATTCTATTCTAGTTATTATATGTTACTATACCGGTAAGTGTGTTAGTATACATGTTCATG